TTGGTCCAGTTACTATGATGTACATGGATTCCCCTCCAAGTATTGCCATAGAAGTTAGTTTTTCACCCGAGGCTTAATATGAACGGGGAAAGGGATTACTCATTCAAATCGCATAATTTTAGACATGTATGTCCGTCTGTATGTCTGTATGTCTGCCTGTCTGTCTGTCTGCCTGCCTGTCTATCTATCTATCTGTCCATCTATATGTATCTATCTATCTGTCTGTGCATATATGATATGTAGGATTAAATGATTCTGTTTGATCCTCCAGAACTCTCACACACCAGTGAAACAAAATAGTAAATAGATGTAAATAGTACCTAAAGGTCATTAAAGGTCTCTCTAACATCTCTATATATATATGATATAAACATACCCTCTGGTAAACTAACATAACTATATATGGAAAATCACCATTTTTAATAAGTAAACCATCTATAAATGGGTCATTTTCCATGGCTATGTTAAATAACCAGATGGTAAACCCATCCATAAACCGATGGATTGACCAAGTCACCGGCATCACCTCCAGAAAGATCCGCGGCTCGCTGCGACTCTCATGGAGCCCATCGATCAGCACCTCCACGGCCACGCGCCCGGGGCCGATCTGAGTGACCTCGGCACCGGAACCGAAAACAACGAGGGAAAGCACGGGGAAAATGCTGATGCTTTGATCCAAAGATCAGCCAAGATCAGCCAATTCCTGATTTCATGGAAAAATTCATGGAAAAGTGGAAAAGTATACGCGGATTTCATGGAGAACAATGGGAAAAAAAGGGGGAATTTGAAGCAAACAAAAATAAGAGAACTATAGCCAAACATCACCAGACAGTGAACATTTCATGGTCTAACCATGTCTAACCAAACACCACAGAATTTCGGTCAGAAAAGCTGAGTTCTTTGATCAAGACATGGAAGTTTGATGGGAGATCTTCAGGATCCAACAGATGGAGGTACTGTACCATATAAGACCATTTTGTGGGGATATTCCCTGAAATTTAGGCCTTATATAGCCCTTACATATGGTAGGTACCCCCAATTTAGGTTCCTGAAATGGCCAAAGATGGAAGTTTGATGCAAGGTACGTCCTCCGAGGTAAGGCTGCAAGATGCCACACGGCTGGTGGACACCTGGAAGTGATTTTTTTTGTGCGACTCAGCCAATGCCATAAAGCAAGCCCAACATCATCTAATTTTTACAGGTTGAACGTTGCATTTGATCAGAATTAGCTTCCAGTAAGCCAACATAGACATGGAAAATCCACAGTATGTAGATTACCCTCTGGTAAACTAACATAACTATGCAAAATCACCATGTTCAATCCACTTTTTGAAGGGTGGGATTCCAACCATCACCAAATGGTAAAAGGGGAGTTGCAAAGATTCAATCAACCATTCCAACCATTTAAATCAATGAATGTTAATTAATATATCAATGAACCATCTCAGCCATATAAATCAATAATATACAACGGGATTCACCACCGGAGAAGTCAACCATCACTTTATCACCTTCCAAACATCTGGGAAAATGGGTTAATTGACAAGCAAAAAATACCAAAGGTGATGGAGTGAACCTTGCGCACCACTTTCGAAAAGAGAAGCAGACTTTGTCAGACATTTGGTTCTATCTACATGGCTACCCGGCTACCCGGCTTCACTACGGGGTACCATTCGCACCCAGTTTGGGGTATCATCTGGTATCATTGATACCCTCTGGTAATTTAACATAGCTATTGAACATGGCCATTTAGTTCGTGAGTTTTCCCATTGAAAATGGTGGATCTTTCCATATAGTTATGTAAACGTTTACCAGGTCGGGTATCATTGACAACCATCTGACCCCAAAATGGGATGTCAACAGTCCCAATGGCCCCGAAAGCTTCCTGGCCTCGCCAGGGACCAGGAGCTCACCAACCTGCCAGGGGCTGTCTCGTTCCTTTCTTGAAAGGTGATGTTAAAAGCAAGGGCAAGGGGAAGATCCCACAGTTTTTGATGGTGAAATACATTATCTTTATTGGTTGATTACATTAAGATCTATCTTTTATTGGAAGCAGTTCACAAACCACCTGGCTACTCCTTGTGCCACTGCGGAGCCACAGCGGACACGGCTTTGAAATCTGCTGCGGACACGGCTTTGAAATCTGCTTGTTCACCAGAAGTATCCTAGTTTGTGGGTTCAATTCAACCTGCTAACCTCCGGTAATCAAAAATGGCAAAGGACATCCCCTACAAGTGGGCATTTAATATGAAATTCATCTCTGTATCTCTCTCTCTCTCTCTCTCTCTATTCATCTACAAATGAGTACAGTAATTTCCACTGCCATGTTTGATCACCAGCGGGTATTGCTTGAGTTCGCATACTTAGGGTGCGCGGTTGGTTCTATCTACAAAGAATGTACACGTGCTTCTGAGAACTTCTTGTTGGTTCAGAACTAATTACATGTAAATCACGAGAATTTATGTTGCTGCAATTTCCACAATTGGGTGCTTCTCGATGCCATGGGATGCCCCTAAACCCAACAGCTGGTTTTCCACATAAACAGAATGACCAATCAGCTGGAAGATTTGGTCTCCCCAAATGGGACTCTGGGACAAGCCCCAAAAAATCGCCATTCAATGCATTGAATTCCAGAAAGCTCATCGCACATGAAGTCAAGTTTGGCAATGTGCTCCATCTATTGTGGGCTGAAGCCATAATATTCTGGTACAATCAAGGATGAACTGATTGATGAACAAAAAACATGTTAAATCAATGAGGAGTTCCCCAAAACCATGATCATTCTTAGCTTAAATGGATGGAGATGGACCCCAACCAATATTGATAAATTCTGACGTTTCTGCGTCTGCATGTCTTTTCTTGGAGAAGATCCGAAGCTTTGATGGTCAAAACATGCTGAACCAAGACTTAATCCATGAAACTTACTCTATCCCATCCCATTGTATTGGTTGATAAAGTTGATAAATGGGTATCCGGATGAAATGGGGTACCCTAGATTAACAAATCTCACAAATCAACAAAGGTATTCTTGATATGTTTGAATCTGTTTGAATGGCTACCATGTTTGAATAGTACGGCGTCCCCATATCTTTGATCTGATCGTCAAACCCCTGCAACCCCCCTATAGTTGATGGTCAAATCCCATTTCCAATAGTCCCATTAAACCCCATCAAATCAGATCCAATCCCATTAAATCCTATCAAATCCCATCTAATGACACTCCCATCAAATCCCATCCAAGACCCATCAAATTCCACTACACTCCCATCAAATCCCATCCAAGACCCATCAAATCCCAACACTCCCATCAAATCCTCCTAAAACCCATCAAATCCCATTGAACCCCACATGATTTTCCCATCATTTCTGCTGATTTCCCGCATCTCAAGCGGTGGTCGCGCCCGCCTTGCATCGAAAGCTGGCCACTGCCATGCGCTGCTCGGGGAACTTGGTTGCCAGGAGGTACAACGTCCAACCTCCGGGAAACACAGACGTGGGGAAGTCCACTCCAAACCTCTGCCAGGTGTGAAAAAATGGGATTATTTCCTCGGAAATCCCACATGTTTTTTCAGGGTGTGATTAACTATTCAGGGACTTTTTGGGCTCTGAGTGGTCAGGTGCTGTTTTTCCATGCGAAACTGGTTTCGTCCCAATGAATTCATGGAAATCTATACGCGCAGCTCACAAGGTAAACCGTTTAAACCTTGCGGACCTTGGTGTTTTTCACGACCCTCAAACCTGATTTCTCGATCTCATCAGAGTTTATCATCTTATAGAATAAATTGTCTGATTATCAAATTATCTTTTATTATCGTGCATATTGACTATATCTGCGTCTGTATAATAAACTGCTACAAGGTAGTGCCGCAGTGCCCCAGTGATTGGTTTATAAACGCCATTAACTAGCTCGTTACATCCCCAAAAACCATATATATATATAGTTAATATATAGTTATAGAGCAACATAAACCAACTTAGTTGTCTCAGATAGTTATGAGCCATTGTTTCTCTAGCTTTTAATAGTTACCCTCCGGTAAACTAACATAACTACGGAAAATCACAATTTTCAATGGTAAAATCCACTATAAATCTCCATTTTAAATAGCTAAGTTAAATTACCAGAGGGTATCCCCCATAAATCCAACAGTTATTTAAGTTATTTAAGCGTCGTGCCTTGCCCAGGATAGACCTGTACAGGTGACAGGTGCAAGATCGACGGCTGCGCAAAGACCTGACGCGAAAATGGAGAGCAAATTGCTGACCAAACCCATAGGATCCATGTATGGTATATATGCTAACATTGGGGGTATATTGATGGCAAATGTTAGCATATATACCATACATGGATCCTATGGGAAACTGAGGAAACACAAAGGACATCAGCATTTCACATGAGGAAATTGTGCAATACGGAAAACTGGAGAAAGAAAATAATCTGAAAAAAAAACAACAACTCATGGAAAACAACACAGGAAACTCAATAAGATAATACTGCATAGATAAAATACTGTAAAGATAATAATATATATATATAATATTTTATGTTTATTTCAATATAATATATATATATATACAAATTGTATGTATTATATATATATATACGTAATATAATCTACCATCAAAACCGATGCTTGTTTGTCTGTTTTTGCTGCTTTTAAGTTTTCAACCTTGCAAAGTGGTGGTTGCTTACTTTAAACAAATGGTGTTTTTTTACAAACATAAATGCGATAACAAACGTGATTTTACCAAGGATTGCGGATTTTGTTTCCAAACACCAATATGGGGAATGTACGAATGAGTGACAATAAACGCATGCTTTTTCCGACGACCATAGATTTTGTTGCAAACCAAAAATTGTGGTTTCACCAATGAAATTTGCGATTTCATCCACCCAAACTGGATTTTAACCACTCAAATATACGTGGATGCCGGACGCGTGTTGGTTAGGTCACCAACCCAAAGCGCTGACCGTGTGAAGCAATGAATCAATCCACATGTGCCTCAATCATCAGGGGCAAAGTGAGGAAGTTGAAATCTGGTGCCTGGCCAAGCAGCGGCGCCAAGATAACTCGGATTTACCACCAACCTATGGCTAGTTTCCGAATCAGACAGTCAGAAAGCAGCGCATTAGGATTATCGGATCCACAGTCAAAAACCCATCATTCACGATATTTCATCGCTGTCAAATAGCTACAGTATTTTTCTTCGCCAAAAAAAAAACAGAACTATTTGGCACCACTTTTAGTCCCCACAGGTTTGGTAAAAAACCAAAGTTTTTTTCGGCCTCCGCGATTTGCAGGGCATAGGAGCCAGGGGCTCCGATGGCCACAGGACAAGAAATGCCTCACAGGAACGAACTTGGCGGCTTGGCGGATGGATGATTTGGGGATAAGATGGTACGAGTCTCCATACCCATAGGATTCATGTATGGTATATATGCTAACATGGATCCCATCAATATACCCCCAATGTTAGCATATATACCATACATGGATCCTATGGGATATAGTATTTGCATGATTTTGCCATCATTTTTTTTGAAGCACATGAAAAATAGGATGCCAAGATGCCAAGGGGCATAAATAATCATTTAACTGGTTGGTGGTTTCAACCATCTTGAAAAATATGAAAGTCAATGGGAAGAACTATCCCATATATTATGGAAATACATTTTTTCCAAACCACCAATCATTTAAAGAATGACACATGACATAAATTCTATGGGTCCATCGTTTCGCCATGTTTTTCGCCATGATGAGGGATCTCGAAGGGCCCCCGGGACCCCACCACGGCCCTGGACGAGGTGCTGTCGTTGGTCAACTTGGATGCAAAGACCTTGGGTCAGGCTGAGGAACATCGATAGTTACAAAGTGGGGACCCCAATTGATCGCCAAGTTGAATTCTAACTCCAAATAACTATGCTGGTTTATGATACTTATATAACTTACAGCTATAGTATAACTATGGTTAATGGCCTTCAAAGGCCAACTTATAACTGGGAGGTCCCACATTGTACCACAATGCTATAGGACTAGCTGCTAGCAGAGGCACGCTTTGTTCTGAAGCTCTCTCTTGTTTGAACTGCACGTCTGCTCTGGTCAAAGGTATATTCCAGTTGCAAGGAATCAAATGATGCATTCAACCACCCCATGAGGGAGTCCGTAACTCGCATCAAGTTGTTGCTAAACACGAGGCAGGGCACATCTGTCTGATCAGCATATCCTGCACTGGCGACTAAAGCAATGCCACAAACTCCAAGAATTAAATCAACTCACCCACTTTCAATCTTTCAATTATGGTATGACTTCAAACCACACGTCTAATCATCTTAAACACGGGAAAACAAATGGGCAAGTAAATATCCACCCACCTAATTTTCCTACTTTCATTTAAGGTATATACCTACATTTGGGTGTTGCCTCCAATAGGCATGCTCTTCAAATCATCATCCCAAATTAGATCAGCTTTTTTTTTTAACACACACACACACGTGTTTTTGATCAAATACCTATAAATGTGCCATGGTCCTTTCTGAAGCTGGCCATCCTCATCCCTAGAAAAAAGTCACTTTCGTAAAAAATCCATGGCTGAAAACATGGCATTAGTCCCCCATGGCGGCCATTTTTTGTGCCGCCAGGTGACCTGCTGGCCATCTGGAAACAAGCGACAGGCCAGGCCGTTCTGCGGCGGCACCGAAAAGGTGATGATGTACGCCTCGGACGGCTAAGAGGTCTTGGGATCAGAGGTCTACTGAGTTGGGATGGTGATTCATGGTGATTCATCGCCATTGAAGTGCTTATGAATTGTGTTTTTTGCTATTGATGGTTATTGATGGTTACTAGTGGTTATTAATGGCCAATGTGGTAAACCCATGTAAATCCAACATCAAACTTGGCTGGGAAATGGATCATTTGCTGCTAATTATCAGCCATGAGCCAGGCAGTGCCCCGTTATAAGTTGGTGAACCCAATGAACTGGTGCGTGCAGTATCCTCGTATTATCCCCATAATCAACCTTAGTTGACCATAGTTCAATGGCCATTTCAGGAACCTAAATTAGAGGTACCTAACATATCTAAGGCCTATATTTATATATATACATATGTGTGTATATATATCAGGCATAAATTTCAGGGAATATCCCCACAATTCATATGGCCAAAAATATGGTACGTTTACATACCTCCATCTGTTGGATCCTGGAGATCTCCCATTGAAGAGTTGACCAAGGCACTGAATCGTTCAAGGGAAGGGCATCTGGGACCACGGACACCACCTGCAGCATTTGTCGACTCATTGGACCGAGAAAAGGCTCAAGGCAGGTACACGATAAAGGCTGCCATACAAAAATGGCCATCCAACATTCGAAGTCATTGACTCATCGAACAGGTTTACCCTCTGGTAATTTAACATAGCTATTTTATAGTTGATTTACCTATTAAAAATGGTGATTTTCCATAGCTATGTTAGTTTATTAGAGGGTAAGTGCTTTTTCAGTGCTACATGTTACAGGAGCCCACCGAACGACTAAAAATGGTCAAAACCATGGTAGAGTCACCGATGGGTTTCCTGTGGATTTTTCCGAGCTTTTCACCGGGCCTCCCATATGGAGTAGAGATTGTCCACATCATCCTGGACGACGCGCCACCGAGCCAGTCATCTCGGGTCTGGGGAGATCCCGTGTATCCGATGTTCCGGAAAAGATCATGTGGGTAAAACAATGCCATACACCCACCATTACCCGGGAAAATCACCATTTTTTGCTTGGTGGTATGTAGAAACCATTCCGAGTCATGGGTGGTTTATGGCATTGTTTTAACCACATTAGCTTTTTTTTATTTGGAAGTATAGCCAGTATAGCTCCAAGATATACGGCTCACATGTCATAAGCCCTGGAATCTCCTTCGCATCCCAATCCCAACATGTGGCTATGAGTCAAAACCATGTAGTTCGGTGAGCATGTCTCTATTATTATATATTGCAATATAGAAGCATAGATGTTTAGGCACAATCACATGCCCATTTGTTGGTTTGTGTGGCTTAGTTTCTGTGTTTTTTTCACCAATAGCCACGTGCCAACAAGATGTGCCAAGGATCTGTCGTGCTGGTAGTGGAAACAGGTTGCCTCGGAGTACAATGTGGTGCCCCTCAGTTATAAGTTGGTTTATAAGCCCCATTAGCTATAGTTATAAGTACCATAAACCATAGTTATTGGAGTTATAAACCAACTTAGCTAACTATGGGGCACCACCTTGTATAGCTTCAGCCACAGCTGTTCTGAGTTGTTCTTTGCACAGATTGTCCAAAATCTCACTTGTAGAATCAACCCCAGAGTCCCCAGAGGGTACGGGCCAAGATTCGCTTGGGACCTATGCGACAGTAGGGAACCACGACTGTCACAATCACGGTGCACAGAACTTGGATGAGCTTGGTAACTCTTTAGCACTTACCATCCGATGATCAGATCACCACGCCCATATCGATGATTATTAAATGTAATTGATACCCTTTTTGGACATGCCAACGTCGCTGAACATGCCCCCAAAAATCCCAAAGCATGGGTCTTTGGATTGGGAATGAGATTCAAAACATCTGCGCACTAGTGCCCGTCAGAGAAACCCAAAAGCATTCAGAGTTTGGAATGCTCTACCTGGTGGTTTTCCCGCGGTTTGCAAGAGGGTTTTAGCCCCAGTGAAATAACTGACCCACTACACGGTGGTGCCCCATAGTTAGCTAAGTTGGCTCATCCCTAGCTTAACTCTTGGTTTATCCCTAATCTAAGCAGAAAAGTACCAAATAGGGGCCCCAAGCTGCCACGTTTCTAGAAATACAATACTTTTGGAACATCATAGTTTTGTCTATCATTGTTTTCCATATGTTGATCGAATCTATGCATATCCCATATTATGTCCCATATTAGCTCCCATATATTTGTTCTGTCCTCAGTATATCTCCATATATCTCCATAAGATCTTCATTTTCCGCACTTCAAATCCACTATCTTCCCAAGTAAACTCACGATTTTCATCCGTTTTCCCCAGGAAAATCCCGCCGTTTTTCCGATGTTTTTCCCGTGACGAAGCCGCCGTTTTTCTCCACGTTTCTGTCACGACGACCCGTCTCCCGGGGGGGTCCCGGTGAAATGCGAGGCGCGGATCGAAGCTGCGCTGCGGCGGCACGGTGTCCAAGGCGGGCTCCGGTGGAGGAGGCTGGCAGAAAACCTGCAGGGGATGAGGTCCCGTTGGTTGGTGGTGCAATGTGCCCATCCTGATGACATTTATAGTGGATTTACCCATTAACAATGGTGATTTTCCATAGTTTTTTGTATGTTTACCAGAGTATAATAACCCATTAACCATCTGGTTGGTGTAATATACTGTTAATATATGGTTAATATTAATGGTTCTTCTATATTCTTATATGGTTAATGATGGCTAATAATCTGGTGGTACAATGTGCCCATCTTGAAAAATGATGGAGTTCGTCAATGGGAAGGATGACATCCCATTTATTGGGACCCATATATATATATATATATATATATATGGCCCATATCCCATATGTCAACTAACAGTTTACTGGGAAACTAACAGGTGATCTATTGGGATTAAGATTTATTTTTGTGATATTTTTGGTGATGTTTTATGTGTGATATACCCTCTGGTAATTTAACCAGGTCATATATTGGTGGTCCAATGTGCCCATCCTGAAAAATGATGGAGTTCGTCAATGGGAAGGATGACATCCCATATATTATGGAAAATAAAACATGTTCCAAACCCCCAACCAGGTTATATAGTTATCAGTTATCAACCATATCTATGGGTCATTTTCCATAGCTATGTTAAATAACCAGAGGGTTTTTCTAGTTATAGATTCCCCAGTCATGGTTGATCAAATGGTTGATTCCATTAAGATCATTCAAGATCTACCCTCTGGTAATGACTAACAGTTTGCGAACTTGAACATGGCCAATTTAGTTCGTGAGTTTTCCCATGAACAAATGGTGGATATTTCCATAGTTATGTGGCTGTTCCCCAGAGGGTAACAATGTGAAAATAACAACAGTTAACATGTTAACAATATTGATTAAACAACTGGTAATTCCAACTATAGTTTAACAACAAAAATATTATTCTGGTAATTCCATAGTTTTATATAGATTCTTCAACAATATTAGCTGACAACTGGTAAAAAACACACCAGATTATGGTTCAATAACAATATTAATTCTGGTAATTTAAATGTAATCAATAGTGTTCAGATCAATTGTTGTACTAAAAGTTTGATGATGTTAATACCGTTTTTTGCACTAATTCAATAATTTAGATTGAGTTTAGTATTGTTTCTGCTGGTGATGAACAGTTTAATAACAATATTTGTAAGAATGGTCTCTGTAATCACCACATTCTGTAATCAAATAGTTTAAGATGGTGGTATTATTTCTGATGGATTTCTGACTAACAGCATCTAACAAGGTTGTTGATGAATAGACAAATATATATATATAATTATTTATATATATATATATATTTATTTATTTAATGATGCTATGGTTTCTGAAATAATTGAAAAACTTAGATGGTTACTGAAACTAATTTAAGGTTCTGTAACAACATTACTTGGCAAATGGTAATAGCAAATGACAATAACAAATGGCAATAACAGTATTGCGGATATTATGTAACAATATTGATGAATAATATTGAATAATAGTATTGTTTCTGTTGCCACCATAGTTAATATATGTTAGTATTATGCAACAATATCCCTATCAAGACCCTGCGGTTTGCATGCAATATTGGTAATAACACATGGTTTGATGGTGTTGATGACAAATAAAAACTATACCTACTGTTGGTGGTATTGTTTCTGTTGCCACCATGACATTTAGTTTCCGCTTGTGTCATGCTGTGGTACTATTATCCAAAGGACCCATATGAAGTTTCTCCCAGGGATTAAACAGCAATAGTACTAATGAAAAGAACAACCAAACAAAATAGTGAATTGAAATTATTTTGCACACATACATATGTACATATATATATATATATATGTTTCACTCCGTCGGGCGAAAGTCGCATCGCGTTCAAACTCGAAGTTGACTGGATCAGCTCAGGGGACAGTGGGAGGGTGTATCGAAGGAGGACGAGCCGACGAGGCACCAGCGAAGGTCCCTCCGGCCTTTGCACACATACACATATGTGTACATATATATATATCACCACCTATTTGTATATATATGTGTTGCATATAATTGTGTAAAGCAGAACCTAAGGAATATAAATGTTATACTATGTAAGATGCACATTCAAATAGGATACGTGGGTATGGGTCAAAGTTCACTCCAAAGTAGTTGCTAGTTCGTCCTCCCACTTTTATGTAAGATTGAGGGTGGGCACCAAAGGTACCACCCTTAAACAATAGAGGCTTAAACCCCAGAGGATGATGGTGGTTAACAAGACCTAAATTTTAGCATTGCAGTAATCTCCAGCAAAATAAACATGTCAAATTAACTACGTTTCTTAGTCGGATTCTACTTAATCTTTTCAGAAGGGCTACTATCGGTACTATGTCTGATCGGTTGACATCTTCATCAAACGATAGGAATCTTTTTTGCTGACTCAAGATTGATAATACAAACACGGTAAACTTCAATATGAAAGGCCCCCACTTCTGCCTTTCAGGTCCCTCTTTAGCCGTTCTACTGGAACTCCCCAGTTTCATCCAGGCTTGACATTTCAATGGATTGGTTTAGTCGGGAAAATTTTAGCCGGAAACCATAGATTTTCCCATTAAGATCATGGGGCTTTCCGGTTAAGATTTTCCCTTAGACCAATCCATTGATATACCATATCCCATTCATATCCCATTGAATCACTATAAAATTCCATTACCCTCTGGTAAACTAACATAACTATGGAAAGATCCACCATTTTATAGCTGGGAAAATCCACTATAAATCACCATTTTCAATAGCTATGTTAGTCATAACCAGAGGGTAAATCATTGTAAATTCCATTTTTCACGTTGCCATCATTGCCCCTTGGTGGGATCCCAAGAGTCCCGTTTTTGCGTACCACATGCCGCCTGCGTATCCTTGCACTCCTGACACATCGGCATCGATCCGTATGGTTCTGGTGTCAGTTCTGTGTGGTGATGGCTATGGTTCTGTGAATATCCCCACAACAAAAACGGCCAACAAATAATAAAAAATGCCAAAAATATGGTACACTGGTACAGTACAAAAAAAAAACAAAATCAAGATTGGTGTTGGCTACAACCTCACCACAAGCA